GGGGTGGTGGGGGGGGATGGTTGAACATGCATCACAATACATCAGAAGCATGAAAAATACAGCAAAAACACCAAAAATACAGAAATACTAAAACGAGAGTACAGGAACAGGAAAGTCAATGCGGGGTAGAAGGCGCTGGGAGGATTGAGGATACATTGTATAGCCGAAATAGGTTTAGGGAGCAAGGTACATAGAGACAGTAAATGACATGGGGGCTAGGTAAGAGGAAGGTACAGTGAGGAATGACAAGGTAACTCAAACAGATTAAGACCGATAGCATGATAGCTGGACAAAGGTAGATTAAGTAGGAAGTGATGATACAATAAATAGTCTGTGGAGTTTGATAGGCAGCCTGAGGAACTGCAGGGGAGGCCCCTCCCCGCGCCCCGTCTCTCTGAGAGTCCCCCTGCTGCGTGTCTGGGTGCTGCTAGGAAGCCTCCCTGCAAGCAGGGTGGCTCCCAGAGAAAGACCATGGTTTGGGGGTTGGCCCCCCTCTAGCAGGGATTTTGATGACAGTTGCGCGGTCTGTGAGGAAGGAATACTAGAAGATATGCAGCACTGCCTACTAAACTGTCCAAACGCACAACGGATCTGGAACAGAACACGGGTGTTCTGGCTGGCAACGGTTGGAGCTCCATTACCAGACAACCGGCTCACACTCTTAACGGGCCTGGCACAGCCAAATTTCAGTGAGCCCTGGCAGTGGACTCTCTTCAGTAAACTTCGCCCTTTTACCCTGTGGACCATATGGAAGACACGATGCAAACAGACAATAGACGGTAAAAAAACACCGACCCAGGAAGCCTGGGAGCTCAACTTTGACGGCAGGAATATCAAGCGGATTGGAACAAGACAGCCAAGAATATCGAAGAAGACCCTCCGAGGAAGCAGGCAATCATAGAAAAATTTGTCAAAGACAGGCTCGGAATGGGTAAACTTGGCACCGTGGAAGGAGACCCCCCAAGACTGGTATGGAAGAGAGGAGAAGATTGGCCACAGAGAGACACAGCAACAGATCTCGCATCACTGGAATCAGGGCGATCACAGAGCAGTAGGGTAGACATACACTCAGCATAATGGCCCCAAAGGAGAATATTAGCAAAGGAGAATATTAGCTAATGTCACTACACAAGCATTTTGAGATACAGATACAGTAGGGTTTAGGGGTTAAGGAAGGGGACAAATCAGGAAAGCAGTAGTGGTACAAGAGAGCTGGTAGAGGAAAGGGGACGAGTTGAAAAAGACTGTGACGAGTACGCATCCATTCACCTCCTGTAGCTCTTTCGCTTTTCTTGTCCTTATCAATTATCTGACAGGTCCGTGCAGTGGAGCTGAGAGGAAAGGCGGAAGTAAGGCAAGCTGACAGTCAATCCTCCGGGATGCTGGAGTTGTCAATGCTGGTTAGGGTTCCTTCGCCCAAACGAAAGGAACCGTTGACTGTGTTTTATGAGGTAACACTTTGTTCAGAAAAATTAAAAAAAGGTAGGTTTAGGGAAGTAGCAGGTTGGGACACTCTGTAGGGGCTTTCAGTTGCTCTATTGCATTTCAGCCTGTGCAACCTAGCGGTAGCTGTGTCATCGCTGCAGTGGTAACCTAAGGACAGGTTGGTAGGTTTCTTCCTGTATTGCTGTTTGTCCTTTCTTAATTCAGTTTTGTCTTTTTCTAAGAATAGCATGTAGTTAGACAGGAGAAAGGGACACTGGACCCGGTTTCTAGTACGAGCCTAATCTGGGTAATGGCCCCAGGCTTCCGGGTCGAGATGTGGAGGGATTCCCGGCCTCCCTTTTGTTCAATATATAATTTCTTAAAAATAAAAATAAAAAAAAATCCACAAGGGTTGGGGTGTTCCCCTTTTCTGATCTGATCTCCCCTCTAAGTAACCGGACTGCTGCCCCCCAGCATAGAAGGGGATTTGCGTTTCAACTTTCAATTAAAAAAAAATAAAGAAAAGAAAGAAAAAAAAGAAAAGAAAAGAAAAGAAAAGAAAAGAAAAGAAAATTTGGCCAAAAAAACCTGATTTCAGCAATGAAAACAGTTTACCCCAACCAGGTGGAGTTGCACAAGATTTACCCCTGGGTTTAAGCGGGGGGAGGGGGGGGTGGGGGTGGGGGTGGCGACAACAATTTTACTACCACGTAAGCATTCAGAGGCAGGGAGTCCCTCCACATCTCAACGTGGGGTGCTGGGGCCATCCCCCAGTTTCGGGTTGGCATCATATTTCTGAGCCTTTTGTTACTGCAGTAGTACAGCTAGCAGCATTAGTAGGGTTTAGGGTTTAGGGTTTAGGGTTTAAGGAGAGATGGATGACAAGTAGCCTGATGTACAATTGGGACTTGAAAAGTAGGGGAAAGGAGTGATCTCCCTTAGCCCTTGATTACTGCAGTTGAACCTTCCTTAGCAACAACTGAGTGGGACACTGGACCCAGTTTCCAGCCAAGGCGAATATCGTTTTCTATTTTCATTTCACAGCAATTTGCTTCTCGTACCATATCGCTATTACTACCTTGTCCCTGTTTGAGGCGCAGCCGCACGCCACTGCCAACATGATACACACACAGAGACCCAGACTTGGGCTCAGGCAGGCACATGATACAAACACATAGTGACAGATCCCCACATACATACTTAGAAAGCACAGCTAATCACAGCAGAACAGATTCGAACTTGGAATTCTGAGAAAATGGTTGAAAACACTGAAAAGAGTCAAAAGACAGCATTTTCTTAGAAATTGCAGAAATCTCAGACGACGATTTGTGCAGGTCATTGCATTATTATGTAGGAACAAAATTTTGACCTGACACACTCGTGTGGTCGGTCAGGGGGCTGTTTTCTGCATTCTCTGCCACCATTCTGTCTATTTATACCTCTTCTCTCAGCCTGTCTATTTCTATGCCCTGTCCTGTTTATGTCTATGCTTTAAAAAAAAAAAAAAAAAAGTCTACAGCAAATGCTGCAAATCATACATGCAAGCGCACGTCGTGCGGGCGATTCCCTACGTGCGGTGCACGCGCCCAACCGATCCCGTGCGGCGCATGACTGTGCGGAGAACGACCCGTCACCCCCCTCAGAAAAAAAAAAAAAAGGCCGTGGTCGAAACGGTGCGTTTGAGGCCCCCCACCAAAATTATAAGCGAGATGAATTTTTTTTTTACAGGAGTACTGCCTCACCTTGCTCCTCCTCCCCTTCCTCATCCTCCATGTCTCCTCCTCCCTTCTCCTTTTCGTCTCCTCCTCCTCCTCCTCCTCCTCCTCCTCCTCCTCCTCCTCCTGCCCTTCCTCCTCCTCCTTGTCTCCTCCTCGTCGTAGTTCCTCATCTTCCATGCCACCTCGTCTCCTTCCCTTCCTCGTGTCCTCCCTTTCCTCGTGTCCTCCCCTTCCTCGGCGTCCATGTCTCCTCCTCCTCCCACTCGTCCTCCTCCTCCTGCCCTTCCTCTTTTCCCTCCGTCCATCTCTTCTCCTCCCCCATCTCGACGACTCCTCCTCGTCCACATCCTCCTCCTCCTCTCCATATTCTCCTCTCCTTGCCATATCCCCATCTTCCTGTCATACGCCCCTGTTCCCCCTCCCAAAAAAAGATAAAATAATAAAAATTAAAATTAAAAAACCTGCACGATTCCGCACAGGCACCCCCCGCACGGAACTCCGCACGAATGTGCGGCTCGTGCGGTTGCAAGTATGCTGCAAATCCCTACCCTGACAAATATTATCAACCTGGGCAAAGCCGCAAAACTGCATTAGGCCGTCATGTTTGTCGTGAGCAGCACTGTAGCCTTGTGATGAATATTACGCGCACACACACACCTAGGCTACCAGCCGGGCCGCCTGGGTCACCCTATTTTTCCGGGCGGCCCGGCCGTGCAAGGACCAGGGGAGGTCCCAACAAAAATAAAATAAAATTAAAAAAATTGAAAAACTCCCAAAAAAACTATGTTATGGCAGTTATGCAGAAAAATAAACTGAACAACTTTTGCCTCAGGGTCACATCGAAATTCTTTACCAAATTTAAAATAAAGTTTTAAATTAGAAAATAATAAAATATTCAAGAATCAAAATCGTTTATTTATTTTTATTTTTTTATTCTTTTATGTTTTTTTGGGCCCGACCGGGCAAGTGGACCCGCGCCACTCTGGTAGCCTAGACACACACGTAACTCTTGAGAAACATGTCATCAGTTAAAACTTAAAATCCTGATGGATACACAGAGTGCCCCTAACACTCTGTCTAGGGCCATCAAAGGTTGTGAGAAGTTGAAAACGCCTGTGCTTGACCTGTGGCGGAACAGTACCGGCACTTGGAACCAACAGTGCAGATGAATGGTACAAAATTACAAATACTTCCAGCCAATGATCCATGTTGTGAAACCCCGCTACCGCTGGACCTGACCTGCTGAGGCTGACAATGCCCGAAATCTTACCAGTTCTTGCAGTTGAGGAGGGGGAAATTCTTCAAGTCTATTGTTGTATCATCGTTCTTGGGAAAGGAGGCCCTCGTGGACAGTTGCTGTTTAAGAGCATAATTTCTGAAGTGGGTCCATGACCCATCATTAAAAGGAAAAAAACTTAAAAAAAGGGAAAGTTTGGGAGAACCCGTGCTGTGTAGCCTAAGGGGTCATGCAAGCGAAAGAAGAAAATTGACGTGGTTTGTGTGGCAAGTTTTTTGCTCTCCGTTTGGTGTGATGCTTCAGTCTTTCATTTTTGCATCTTACTTCTGTGCAAGTAATCTATTTTCGCTGACTTCCGTCCTGATGGAAATCGCTGCCTGTGCATTGTAGGCTCAGGCAGCTGTTGCAGCACATACGTGAATCTTCTATGGGCATTGACTAGATTCATTCAAAATAACATGAAACTTGACGAAGAACTGAGCCAGGTTCATAACAGTAGTATTCCTGCTTTTCTTGTGTATGTATGAACATGTTGATGACATGATCTTGAAGGATCGTTGACACGACAAGGAGGCAAAATTCTAATTGACTTTTCAAGTTTTCATGCAATGTGTTTGCAGGATGCAGACTGCTTCTACGCACAGGTGGAGGAGTTGAACCGGCCGGAGCTACGAGAACGCCCTCTAGGCATCACTCAAGTTAATACAGTTTAATTTAATACATCTTCTCGAAGTTCGAGTGTTCTATTGCCTTTTTTAAAGTTTTTTTGAAGTTTTCAAGTTTTTTGAAGTTTTTTCTCCCCTCTCCATTCCCCTTTTCCTCCACACCCGCGCTCCCAACCCTCCGCTTCAGGTCCAATCTTTTTTTTTCAAGTAAGAAATTTGGACCATTTCTGGATTTATGGGGGTCATCCTTGTGCAGGGAGGGGTCCTGCTAATCTTCTTCTCTGTATCGTTCCAATTTGAGCGGATGTCCCGAAGGACAATTCTCCTCTTCACGCCCTAACTGGACTCTTTTCTCTTTTTCTTTTTGGAGGGTCGGCAAAGCGTGCCAACCCTAAATCCAGGAGTTCATAAATTTTGCCAGCCATATGTCTTGATGTCCACACAGTGCACAGCCTAAACCGTGCATGGCATATATAGATAACTAGCCCTTTTTCTTAACTGATCGTCCCGTGCCATCATCTGCACTATGCATTGAAAAAAATTGAAATCTTCAGCGGCCCGTCTTTTCTTGCCTGTCACCACATATGTGAAAGGCAAACTTTTTAAGAGCCTACGGACTCAACAAATCTCATAGACTTTCTGACGGTACCTGTTTCTTTTTACGTCCACTCTTGCCATTCCCCGTTGTCTTCGTGGTACACACATTGCTTTTGTGTTGAGGATCACTTGTCCACCTCTGTGCCGCAGCAGGGCAATGCATCAACGCTCTCTGCACGCCGTCTGTTACAAAATTTGGCTGCAGGCGTCACTGTGTCTGCTAGGATCACAACAATGCCATGGTTTCTGCAGCTACATTGTGCAGAGGGATGCCCCTGCTTTCATGACTCTGCACTTCCGGCATCCCATGTCCATTTCGCAGCGAGGGACATTATAACGAATGCATGCTCCCCTGTGATGCCTGCTGTTCTTTCGTTCTGGTCTGTAACCACATGCCATTTATCTGGAGTGTTTTGTGGGAATGGTTAGTTGCCAGCCAGTGTGGCAACTGTAGCTCAGAGAATTCTCAGCCTGGTCTTCCGTGCCATCAGCTATCTCATATCCTCTGTGTCACCAACATCAGGCTTACTACTCACTCTTCCTTCATCTGTCCTTAGACTTTCATATTTGTTCTACCCTCCTTTCTCTTCCTTTGCCTTTCCTTCCTCTCTCTCTCTCTCTCTCTCTCTCTCTCTCTCTCTCTCTCTCTCTCTCTCTCTCTCTCTCTCTNATGGCAGACGGGTGTGTGGGCACCTTGCACTCAATCACAAACGTGTTGAGCCTTCTCTCTCTCTCTCTCTCTCTCTCTCTCTCTCTCTCTCTCTCTCTCTCTCTCTCTCCCCTCTTACTCTCTCTCTCTCTCTCTCTCTCTCTCTCTCTCTCTCTCTCTCTCTCTCTCTCTCTCTCTCTCTCTCTCTCTCTCCCCTCTTACTCTGCCATATCCTTTACAGTGTGCAGCTGTGCTGTTATGGCAGACGGGTGTGTGGGCACCTTGCCCTCAATCATAAACGGAGTCAATTCACATTCTGTATTATTTGAATACGCACCCAGGGGTTTAATTGTTATTACTTTTGTGGGAGCTATGGCATCCTTTTTTGCGGCAACTGCAGGAATGTTACAAAATGATTTAAACCACCACTACCTTTCAGGCTGGGAGGCTAAGTCGTAAAAGTAACCTATACCGGATTCTTCGGAGCCCAAAAGGAAAACAAAAACAGCTCGCTGGTGCTTTGGCCCCCGGTTGGCGCGCAGTTTGACTCTGCCTCAGCAGAAAGAGGCCCGGAGGTAGTGGTGGTTTACAAAGGGTTATTGACATTTATTGCTTATTCTACTTGTATTCTCGTAGCCAATTAGGTTGTATCAACTTGTATGGTATTTGCTTGTGGAGATAAAGTTTGTGTTTACTTTATCATGGTGAATATAGTCTGCTAGAATTTCCTCTATTCCTACAGACATATGACCAAAAAGTAAGATATTTAACAAGATCAAAGTGGAAACATTTGCTAAAAGTATAGTTGGGAATTGGAATTGAGAAAGCAGCAGAAATCCATGGAAGAAGCCAATGTGCCAACCATCCCAGTGCTTTATCTAGACTGAACCCTTAGCTAATGGGAATTGAAACTTGACTGAGTTGATGTGAGGCCCAGTGGGATTGAGTTCATTGATTGCTCTAGCTTACTGAGACCGTGAGGAGCATAAGTTCAGCAGGCCTGGTGCTACTATCTTCCCTGTCAGCCAGCTTTTCGCAATTCCCCCGAGCTAGGAAGTTGCTGTGAACACCTCATGCTCTTTGGCTAGTTTTATGATCTCGCGATGAATGACTGTACTTGAGCTCCCCAGGAATTTGTATTCTCATCCCTCTTCTCAATTATAGTAAATGTGAAAGGCTTGCTCCCTCACAGTGGTCTTTATAGTTTGGGAATTGTGCGGACATACATGGCCATAGTGGCTGGCAAAGGAACAGAAGACGCAGGGACACAAAGTGAGAGTGGCTGCATCAGTGATAACGAACTAGGCGCAGAAGGGCTCACAGATGGAG